AAAGTTTCTGGTTGTATGTACACTGCAAGACATACCCAGGTCTTTGGCTCATCCCTATACACCAAACTCTCCTCCACTCCAGTGGCTTATTCCTAGCACTCAAGAAATTGATATCAAAGAACAGTATTTACCAGGGCTTTCAACAACATCAACAAATACTTATTGAGCACTTTCTGTGTTGTAGATGGAGTACTTTCTCTCTCTTTTTTTTTGAGGCTACTTATTGAGCACTTTCTATGTGTAAGGCATTATTTGAAGCTTCCAATATTTACCATAAACAAAAACAAAGTCCCAACTCTCAAGAAGCTTATACTCCAAAGGAGAGATATGCACAAACAAAACAAACAAGTATGGTACTGATTAGTGCTCAGCAAAATAAAACAAGAGAAAGTGACAGGGCTTAAATACAGTCCTCATTATGTGTCCCTAAAATATAGCTTACAGTGAAAAATTGATGCATAAGAATAAAGAATTAGCTCCCTCATTATTTGCATTTTGAATCACCCAAAAAATGGGCAACAAGTTCTTCCTACATCATCAGGAAGGAGGCTGCAACACTCAGAACAATGTACTCCTCCAGCAACACAGACTGAAGGTTAAGTCTAATGAAATAATTATAAATAAGCATATTCAACTATTTAGATCGCCTTAATTTTTTTCCAGTTGTTAACAGTATGACACTTTCATGCTAGGGAAAAACTGTCTTAAAACTAGATTTTAGGGGCACCTGGGTGGCTCAGTCGGTTGAGCGTCCTACTTTGGCTCAGGTCATGATCTCACGGGTCGTGGGTTCCAGTCCCGCGTCAGGCTCTGTGCTGACAGCTAGCTCAGAGCCTGGAGCCTGTCTTTGGATTCTGTGTCTCCCTCTCTCTCTGACCCTTCCCTGCTCATGCTGTCTCTCTCTCTCAAAGATAAATAAAACATTAAAAAAAAATTTTTTTTTTAAACTAGGATTTTATTTTGCTTAGTCCATTTCTGGTCAGAATAGACCTTAGGGTGGTCAGAAAGACCACTCATTCAGAGTGGGACTGTTTGCAAAAGGGATAATCTGGTAACTGCTGCTGAATCTGAAAGACAATTTTTAAGGGTAACCCAAAGAATGGTGAGAATATCATTAGATCTTCAGTGCTCCCAGTTTCTTACAAAAGATAAATGATTTTGTTATTTAGAAGAAAATCATACGTAAGGAACATTAACAGTATTGAACATCTAATAGTATAAGAACATCCTTTAGAAAATCTCTTAATCTCATCATCAAGATTGACAAACCAACTGAATTCTCAAGTTAATCAACAACTCCTTCAGAAAGCACCACCAGACTTAGGTGAATTCAAAAGGAAAAAATATTCAGGTTACATAATTTCTTTTACCGTGAAGTAGACTGTCTTCCCTTTCTTTTACAATGATTTAGGTGTCCATTTGTTTTTACAACTGCCTTTGGCAGGAGCTAATGAATTTTTTCCATACTAAATGTAACAATGTGTACAAAACATTATACAGGTTGAAGGCACATATCATAATCCAGTGTATTAAAACATATAACAAGGGCCACATCTTCCAATAAAAATGAAAAAAGTCCCATGTTAAAACGATACTACACAGCACAGATATCTTTAACTTAAGCATTTAGATGCACATTATTTTGCCCTTGGTTTTCTATGCAATAATAAGGGTTGCTCAGGATTGGTATGATTTTAGAAACCTAAAAGATCATTATAATTGCTAAGGATTTAACTAACATTTTAGATTAAGAAATTTTAAGATACTATGCTGAACATTCTCTACAAATAAGTACTTAACTATACATGGACAGTAACAAACATCCAAAACTACTCCAACACTTTGGCTCCTGAAATCAAATGAAGAAAAAAAGAAGTTCCATCTTTAGTACTTGGCAGTATTTCTGGAAAAGGTCCTCCATCTAAATTTACCAGAAATACAGAAATAAATCCTCTTGACCTCAGGATAACCAAATACCCACCCATCGCCAAGACTGAAGCTTCTATCCCTCTCAGTGGACTACCCCTTTCAGGTGTATCAATTTGCCTGAGAGATCTATCTGGCTTTGTTCTAGGAATCTATACACAAAACTACTAATCTTCCCATTAAAAAACAAAACAAAATAATGTCATGCTTAAGAATAATCAAACATTGTTCACCCTCCCTTGTCATTTCCTACTCTGCAAAACATTCTTGCTCCAGAAAGTAGAGCTAATGTCCCAAATCTACTACATATACACCATCTTCAAAGGTACAATTCTCTTCCACGTGTAATAGTAAATAGATTAGCAAAAGGCAGGCCAATTTTTTTAAACTAGCTATTTCTGACTTTAATAAATGACTTGTCACCAAGATGATATAAACATATTAAAATTTGCCAAATTCAGCCTATGCACTTGTGAAATAGCTATATCAGCAAGAAGCACTAAAATGATCTATCATTAGATCATTACTAGTATTAACAGTATTCTTACTAATAAGAAGGCAACTTTTTTTTTCTTAAAGATAGGTAAAAGGTCCTAAATAGAAAAAAGTCATTCCGAAATGAATCTAGACTCAGACTTTTAATACTGGTACTCTGTTTTCTCTCTCAAGAGGCTACTCTGAAGGTAGATCACAGAGTGATGACTATTTAGGTTTTGTCTCCTAAAACAACATGGAAGTAACATTTAATAACTCTGTAATCAATGTGCTAGGTAATTCCATTCAACTTGACAAATATATATGAGACCACATAAATTTTAATTACTAAGCTAAAGAAGTAAACTTGTCATTTTGTCTCTTTCAAACTTTATGTTCTATGACCAATAACTGCAAAACAAAAATAAGTTCTATACTTTGGCCTACTTTAAAGACAGATAAAGTGTTAAAAAAAAAATAGTTAACTACTATAAAAAGTAGCCTTTATAGTAGTTTTAAAATTCCTCAAATAAGATCTAACTTAATCAATTTTAGATCAATAGGAGCACTCGCCAGAGAGAGACATTAAGTCTGGTAGGCAAACTTGTCACTCAAATAAGCTGCCAATACGCTCTCACATCAAAAATTATGTTATAGAAGGAATTCACACTTCACATATAATTTGGTCATGTAATCTTAGAAAGAAAAACAGACGGAGCACCTGGATGTCTCAGCTGGTTAAGCATCCGACTTTGGTTCAGGTCATGATCTGAGTTTGAGCCTTGCGCCTGGCTCTGTGCTGACAGTGCGGAGCCTGGAGCCTGCTTCGGATTCTGTGTCTCTCTCTCTCTGCCCCTCCCCCGCTCGCACTGTCTGTCTGTCTGTCTGTCTCTCTCAAAAATCAATAAACATTTAAAAAACTTTAAAAAAGGAAAATACATCAATCACCCTAAACTTCAGAATTATCACCCAAAAGTCTAAGGAAAGACCCCCCCTAAAATACCTGATGTACCCTCTTATACAACACTGCTGCAACAGCACATGAACCAAAAGAGAAAAATATGCTAGATAAGGAAAGGGTTAATGTGTGCAACAGGTAGCAATCACTTTATAATTCAAAACAAAACAAGACAAAAAAAACTTGCCAGGACAAAAGTCACAGATTCCTTGGATCTCCTTACCACTACTGCCCTACCTTAAAAATGGTAAAAAATGTGAAGAACTTTTGCTAGCTGAATGAAAGGCTCGTCCTTTGAAAGACTGGAGCCCAAGATCCAAGATCCCTCAGGTATTTATGTAACAGCTCAAGAATTCTTACAGGCCTGACATGATACAAATGAATTCCCTATATAAAACTGGGAATAACCACCTGGGAAGAGAATTTTGCAGCATCTTCTTTCTTCTATGTTCCCAAAGTTTAATTTAAGAAATGTCAAAACAAAAATAAACCCCAAGCACACAAAATTTCACCACTGATATTGGTAGTTTATTTCTAAAAGTTAAAGTATTGTATTCTCAATACATGCATCGGGAGACAAGAGGCAAATCTCTGAAGCAAGGCTTGCCAGAGCACATGCCTGTTAGGGGACATACTTGCCAATGCACTCCACACCTTTGCTAACAGTCACATTTAAAAAAAGAAAAAGTAGCCTTTCCTCAAAAAGAGTGAAGATCATCAGAAAAAAAAGATTACAGAATCATTCTTTTTTCCTCCAAACTCAGTCTAAATGCAGAACTAAAGAAAACCACCACAAATTCCTTTAGAAATCTTCTAGGTCTTTCAGTTTACCAAAATTCACATAGTACAGACAATTCTTTGGTTTTCCCAAAACCTTACTCTGTAGACACAAAGTCAAATTTCTGAAACATACAGTGAGAATATTAATAAAGCTCTCTTTCACTAGGAAATAACAAAAATCAAATTCTTAAACTCCAGTAGGGAAACCCTGAGAGGAAAGTAGGTCTTAAAGCAGCAAGCATTCATATGCACACACAAGCAAATTCCCTCCAAATCATTACTAAGTAAAAATTTCTTTCAACAAGATGCATATCATACTTCCCTCTCAAAATACAGAACACAGAACTTTTGGTATTCCAATTTTCTCAATCAATCCCCACCAACTCTCTAAACCTATCAGTGTTATTTGTGTTAAAAAAAATAAAAATAAAAATCCACAGTTCTACTCCCCAGCTCAAAGCCACAAATCCTGACACACAGTAATCTATAAAAACGACACAGAACTACTTCCTCAGTTCACCCCTACAATTTACATTCTAATCTAACTTAATCAGATTTATTACAGTATCAGTATTGCAAAATTAGTAATCCTTGTCACCTTGTAATCCACAAAATCCTTTGATTTACACAATGGTTTCTATAGAAATTAAGGCTATATAGAAGTCCATTTCCAAACAGGATGAGCATTAAGGCTCTAACTGCTTGGCCTAAAAACCAAATGAGATATTAATATACCTTCTTTCCTCTGGTACACAGAAAAGGCACCTGAAAAGTTTTAATCACAGGAGGTTCACAAATGGAAACAAAATAGTTACTGTGCTACAAAATTGAAAAAAAAAAAAAAAGACGATAAGATACTAACCAATCTCTGGCTGTAACGAATCCTTTCTTCTTCGGGTTCCATCTCTCACTCTTCTGTTGAAATTACTGTAAAGAAACCACTCCAGGGCTGCCTTCCTCTTCCTCCTTAGGAACCAGATTGCAACACTAAAGAATAATGATAGGAGCAGAGATGAGAACTCATCCTCAAACTCAAGCTTTCTTTTCAGAGAAAGAAGTGTTTAAGATCTGTGTAAGTTAAAGGCTGACAAATCTGGCTCCTCTTCATCAGACTGGGACCCCTCTCTCGGCCAAGTGGTTCCATGTCATGACCAACATCAATCACATTACAACTGTCCGAGGCCTAGGCAGAAGGAGATGATGCTGGTTTCAGTTCCTTGTGGATGGGCCACTCCACCGTTTCTCCCCACAGGACTACAATAAGCAAGCCTCCCTTTGATGGCAGCGGTAGCAAGAAAAAATAATAAATACATAAATGAATAAATAAATAAAAGAGGTGGGGGGAGACTTTTATCTGTAGAGAGCTGACCAGGTGAAGCAGGCACTGAACTAATCCAGACCCCAATCAAATTAGTTCTCTCTCAGTGGTGATTAGAAACTAAAGGGGAAAAGGGCAGACTATCCAGAAAGAGGACAAGAAATCAGGATTTAAAGAAAGATGCCAAAACAATTTCCCATACCCTTCGAGAAAAGCCGTGCACAATCGTAGCCTTCCTTCCTAGACTCCCCGGATCTTTTCATTCCCAAACCAACACTCCACCCCAACACAAGACGTGTACAACTCTGAAACAAATTCAAGAGAGTTGCACATCAGGTTCAAGGATACCATTAGATCTTTGGGGATAAAGTAATAGCATGAGCGAATCCATCCAGAGAAATTAGTAAAATACAGCCTTCCCTAAAATCACGACCAGTTTGCGCGACGGTCGATCCAGAATACCAAGAAAGGGTTTTCTTTTTTTCCTAAATATTCTCAAGGATAATGGCTTCCATAGGGAATGCAGATTTTTACCCCCTTTTTGTAACTACATTACAGCCACGTTAACAGCATTCTTTCAAAACTGCTACACGACCAGAGGACCCAATGACACAGTTTGCAAGCGCAGTTCGTGGCAGAGCCCTCCTAGAGGAAGCCCTTGTCCCAAGTCCGGAGGGAAAGAGACCGTGTTTGCACCCCCTGGGCGACTGCCGCCCGGGACCGAAAGCAGCCGGGGCCGGACAGGAAAATGGCAAATCTCGCCGGGCTCCCCGAAAGGAAAGGCGTTTCAATGGTTCGCCCTCGGAAAAAGAAATAGAAACTTTACATTAAGACTTTAGATAACACGGTGAACCAAACTTCCAGGGGGGGGGCGGGGGGCGGGGGGCGGAGGGGGAATCTCACCGGGGATTTTGCTCGTGAGTTCTTGTCCAAGTGAGAAGTGAAAGATTCCAAAAACTGTGAGGAAAAATTAAATCCCAAACGGCGTCTTCGGGTTTTTTTTTTTTTTTTTTCCGTGGATCAACCCAGTATCCAGAGAGGGTCAGGGCGACCCGGAAAAGAGGAAACAGTTGCCGAATCAAACCTCCTCTTCGGGCTTCGGAGACCAGGAGTCGGAGGCGTCGGGAGAGGGGAGCGCGACCCCTCGGCGCCGAGCCCGGGGCGCCCCCGCCTCCCCCGGGCCAGCGGTCAGCGGCCCGGGCCCGAGCCCCGAGCCAGCCCCGGCCGCGGGGAGCGCCCTCTTCGCCGTGCCCTGGGCAAGCAGCCGCCCGGCCGCCTCCGGAGCCCAGGAGCGGCGGCCGATCAGCTGAGACCGGCCGGCCCGAGGTTCCCCGCGCCGCCCCGGCCCCCCGGAACGCGGGCCCCGGCCCCGGGGGGCGGAGAGGGCGGGAGCGGCGCGGCGCGCCGGGCTGGGGGCCCGGGCTCCCCTCGCGTCTCCCCCTCAGCCGGGGCTCCGCGCTGCGGGACGAGCCCCCGGCTACTCCCCAGTCGCAGAGGAGGGATTCCGGGGGATGGGCCCCCTGGCGTTGCCCCTCCTCCCGGAGCTCCCCCTGCCCAGGATAGACGGAGCGGCGACAGGCCCAGCCGCCGGGAAGGTGCTCTGCGAGCCGCAGCCTCCGCCGCCGCCGCCGCTGCCGCCGGGGAGGGGTGTTGTTTCCCTCACACAGGAGGAGCCGCTGAAGCAGCCGCCGCCATTTTGAACCCGTCAGACTCTCACATACACACAGCTCCGCGGCGCACTGCGCAGGCGCCGCCCCCCACCCCCTCCTCCGGCTTGCCTCCACCCCCACCCCCCTTCCAGCCTCCCTTGGTTTCTTACCGCTCTCCAGGACGCACGTGAACGCGCACGCGTCACTCCCCTCTAACGCGGACACTCCGCGGCGCGCGCACGCGCGGATGCGTCGGCCTCGAATCGCCCGCGCCCGACGACGCCGACGCGGCTCCCCGCCCCCCTTCGCGTCAGCCCGCCCGCCCCCCCGCCGGCCCACCGCCCCGGCTCCCCGAGGGCCTTCTTCCTGGGCTCGGGCCCGACCTGCTGCTCGCGCCTGCGCGCAGGGCCAGGATCCTCCTCCGCGCGCCCTCCTCTCCCACACGCCCTCGCCCGAACACACACACACACACACACACACACACACACACACACACACACACACACAC